TTTCTTATATGAGCTACACAAATAAAATTACAGTTAATGGCTAACTCTAAATTGAAATTGGTACAAATGCGTTAGAAAGTCTATTTTGCAAAATATTCATCACTGTCAGGGCCAGGACATTAATTTCATTTTCCTTACATTTGCTATATCCCTAACAAATGTTCAACTGATTTTAATGGAACAACTTCTAAATTTAACTTTACTACTTAACAGAAGAAAATTTATAGGGCTCCTACCTTAGTGCTAATTAAAATATCACATTATTGAACAAGTCCTCACCCTGGCCTTATTTTAACTGTAAAGGAAAATGTCTAGTTACAGTTTTTTTTAATATGTTTTCTTATTGAAATATTGATGACACTGTTTCTTGATGACTTGCTTTACAAGTCATTTGAAGATTTAAAAATAAAATATAGAATTTTCCAGCATGTTCTAAATAGTTACAGATAAAGATTATGAAAATGGGATCTAAAAGTTTATGGACATTTTAGTTTAGTTTTATAGATTCCTTGGAATTTCCTCGGTATTTGTGAATTATTTCTTTTATAAATTTTTTAAAAGTTTCTATCTTATTCTAGAACATAGATTTAAAGATATTTTTAAAGTATCTAGAAAGGTCCAAATGAGTGTAGAGGGTTCTACAATGTATTTCCTTTACAATAGCCAAAGTTATACATGAATGCTTAGGTTACAATGCAAGCATTTCCGTAAATTGTTAATCTTGGCCAAAGTTGGTAAACATACCTTTTCATAATCCCTTTAAAATATTGATGGATTTCAAACTAATACTATCCACAACCTTTTGTCTTGACTAAGTCTTGCCATTGAAGCAAAATAGGAAAGGACAACAGAGTGAGGCTGATGAATTTTGCAACTTGCCCTCACTTTAAAAATAAAAAATGCAACGCAAGTCAAGACTACTACTCAAGTCTTGGTAATCTTGGCATGCGTTGGACAAACAATGTATCCCAAAACAAATAGGACTAGATTTTTTTTCATGCATATCATTTTGGCTTTTTTTTTCTCTCTACCAATGCTGTGGGTCGAGTTACTAAATAATTAAAACAGAAAAATTATTGGGTCTTATCTGAGGACAAATATATTTTTTACAACAACTAAATATTTTTGTTCTTAACTATCTTTATGATTAAGAATTGTAATTTAAAACAGATTCCATATGAAATAAAAAAATTTTGGCTCACTGCAAAGATAATGGCGCTACCCACAATGTCCGGGTACTGGTCATCTTGTAAAAATATGTATGAACAAGCCATTGTCAGGCATAGAAACCATGAAGACAATTTGCGGAGTCAGTGGGCTGAAACTGCAAACTATTTCAAGAACTCTGATCTTTGGGCAGCAAAGCAGAATGCATGGTCATCCAATCAAGGATTTTAAGACAGGTTAATTTAAAAAAACAGTATTATTTGTCTGTTGTTTTAACATTAAAAGTATCAAAGGCATGTAACTTTTAAAAAAATGCAATGTCAGATCTAAAAACGTAAGAGACCATTGCCATGAAAATTTAAAATTCATTTTAAGTAAAAGCAAAAATAATTAAAACTTTTTAATTAATGTTGTGTCACTAGTTTTCTAAGTTAGGTATTCTTTGTAGCTACTTTTAAGATAAGAAATAACTTAAGCCTATGCAACATAAAGGCCTGAACTCAATATTTTATAACAAGAAACACCCCGCCGAGCAATGGTGGTGGCAATGCATGAACTTCCCATCTACTAAAGCCACTTGACAAAACATGCATTCAAGAAACACACTTTATAAGAATCCCAAGTTAATGCTTCTGGGAATTTTATTTTGCATTCCTTTTGAACACAGAGTTACAGCCATACATACATGCCTAGAGAATTATTATTTGTAATGGTAATGATGACCACTCATTATTTGTGCAAAAAGAGTGACAAATGTAATTGATAAAAACTTTTTAAATATAAACCTAATGGCTGTAAATACTGATTTTTTTAGCACAAACCTCACTTTTTTAATGGTTACTTTTGTTTTTTAAAAAATCATACTGCTTGTTGAATTTAAAAAAAAAATTCTTTTTAACTTTCATCTGCATGGATTCTTATAAAGAATCTAAAAGCCAAGACTTAAAATCTGTGAAGCTTAAGCAACGTAAAGACAGAGTGGCTTATTGTTATCAGAGGGCACTAAAAATTATGCGGTATGTTAATGTGTAATAAAGGGAATGTCAGTTTTCAGCAGTACATAGTTTTTTAAAAAATTTATTTTACATTTTCTTGTTAAGGTTTACTTTTTCTGGGTTAATTTCTACAAAGAATATGTTGGGTGAATATAATTCACTGTAGACCAGTAAAGCCCCAAGAGTTTGTGATACCAGGGGCAGTCATTGACCTTGCTGCCCCCCATTTCACAAAAATGAAAATGCACAACATACAATATGCATTAATGAATGTCATATAAACTACATGTATATGAAGTTGGCAGAAAATGATGCCCACTGTGCTGTGGAAAAGACAGGCTTAGTTACCAGCATTGCAGAAGAAAAATACATTCAGTGGAAGAAAAATCAATCTTAGTTTAAGGGAACAACCTCTGTGTTAAAGGGTGAGGTGTGTTTTTATAAAACATCTCATGAAGTCAATTATATGTCTGCATTTCCACTTTGAATATGGTGAAACAAGGGTAAAAAAAAATATTTTTTTAAAGTGATTATTCATGGGGTATATTGCTTGCTTCCAGCACACTGCTAACTTTATTTGAATGTAGAGTTAATAATTAATAGCCCTTATATGTTATAATGATAGGTAAATACTATAATCACCTACTATTGCAGGGGCCTTCTGCTCTTTAGCCTTTATCATGTAGTTGCTAGATCAAAACTTAATATTTGGCTCTTTCCCATGAAAAGGTTCCCGACCACTGTACCGTACTATTGTAACAGTGTACACTAGATGTTTGAGCTATAACATCAGGCTGAACTGAAAGGACTGTCCAAGCCCAACTTTGAAAGACTGGAAGAAATGAGTGCCAAAACTGAAGGTCTCAAAAGTGCCAGTGAGGAAAAAAGACAGAAGGTAGAAATTATTTCTTTGTAACACTATACAACATATTGGTAAATTTCTAATGAATGTAAATGTATTGAAAAAAATAAATAAAATTTCTTCTTTAAGTTATTTGACATTTGCAAATAAAAAAAGACAGATTTAAAACTTTCAAAAAAGCTGCCAGCTATATTTAACATTACTCAAAGCTATTTTTCTTATATTATTTAAGTATTATTTCTATCTCCTCTTACAGCAGTTCAATTGGTATAATTGGTTTTAACTTTGAGTATATCTGGTCAAATCTTATATACATTAAGATTTATCCAATCCATTATGATTTAGCCAATCCATTAAGATTTAGCAAATTCATTAACATTTAGCCAATCCATTAAGATTTAGTGAATCCATTAAGATTTAGCCAAATATTTTATCCAAACTGCAGCTGGCTGAGGACAAGTTGTACCAGCACTGGAGAGAAAACAATCCAGAACTTAGAAAGGCAGAGTAGAATTTACTCCAAGAACATGTTGTTGGAGAATGGGGAGACCAGATAGAGGAGAAAGAAGAAGTTAGTGTATCTTTAATACAACTCATGTTGATGATTCAGAGAAGCAAATATTGCCTCATGACCTTTGGTCATTTCAATATTTAATTTTTTTTAAACCTTGCTACTTTTTGTTAAAATTTTACAAGCTGGTCAACTTCCTGAAAGGAATCTTTTTAAAATGACTCATTTAAGCACTACAAAGTATTGTTTATTTCATCAGTTTAAATGATTGCTACAGGCATACTGTTGTGGCCGGCAATATAATTTTTACCTATGAAAAGTTTGTTTGTACTGATACCAGCATACACTGTTTACAGGGTAACATTCAGACACAGCACAGATTATGGTTATCCTGAAATATGGGCTATAAGATTGGTGGTTTAAGATTGGTAGTTTAAGATTGGTGGTCATTGATGTTTTAAAAAATGGAATTATTTGATAGTTTTTAAGTTTAAATAAAGACACCTTAGTAATTTTATGTTTTATCACATGGAATTTTTGTGTAGCATTCTGGATCAATGATGATTAAAAGAACCGAGTGAATCGCTGTTTTACCAGAGATCAAATACTTTCTCATAAACAAAAATTTATAGAATCTCAGAATTGATCAAAGCTATGATGTTGTTATTTGATCTAACTTGTATTAAACTTTATTTAATATGGCAGCAAACTCACTGCTAAAGAATGAGTGCTTTGCCACAGGTTTCTATTTACTTTACATAATAACAGAGACTAGAATCAGCAAGACAAGAAAAAATTGCTTTTGAAAAGCAGATGGAGAAAAAAAGATTAGATGTCATCAAGCTGGAAAGGCAGAAAGAAGAAAAACGACTATAGGAAGAGAGGTCTATGAAAGATATGCTAACACACCAGATGCTTGAGTTTAAGGCCAGAGAAGAGGAGGTGAGCTGATTTCTAGGTGTCAAGATTTCTGTAACAAAGAAATAAATTAAATGTGCTTAATTTTTTTATGTTTTACAAATCCATTATATAATAATAATTGCAGATGAAGATGCAGTGAAGTCATTATTTTAGTTTTTTGTCTGTAGCATATATGAGATCCTCCTTCTTTGATTTCTAAAAAAATTTAATATATTTTGTAAGCATGAGGCACGTTTCAGGCCATATGGAAATTTAAATATATATATATGTATTCAAATTAAAGGATTTAAAAGATCTGCTTTCTTTAAATTTGTAAGCCCCTCAAAAATTTGTGGGAATAAGTCAGTATAATGTGAATGAGTCAGTATAATGGAAATGAAAATTAAGGTTCGAAAGGGATTTTTATTCTGTTTCTGAAATGTTTTTTTTTATTTAAAGGATTGACACAGCCATCAAAACCAATGTTGGTATAATTAAATTTATTAGCACCACATTTTATAACTCTCTCCCTATTCAGGCCAAGGCATGGATTAAGCAACAGGAAGATTTATTGAGACAGAAATGGGAGCTAGAAAAAATAGAAGATCAACAGTGCAAGAGGGAGGAAGAGAGAAAAAAACAAGATTTAGGGTAGAACGCTCTTTTACTCAAGAAAATCGGATAAAGTATAAAAATATAATTATTTTTACAATATGCACAAGAAGGAAGAAAAATATTCAATGAAGCGGAAAGTGAACTGTAAATACTTTTAAGGATCCTGTCAGAATATATGAAATTGAAAGGAAATAGTAAAATTTGAGTTTTCACATTTTTTTTAATATTTTAAAATAGCAATTGTGACCGATGTTTCAAGGTAGTTTTTTTATTCCCTATCATATTAATTTTTTTTCCTGACACTTCAACTTTATTAATTCAAAACATGTTTGATGCTTTTAATTGAATCTATGTTTTTCTTTTACTTGTATCGTGTTTGTGACAGATGTGCTTTACTGAGAAAACACAAGGCTCAGATGATGCACAAGTATAAAGTCATCCAAGAAGAATTGGTATACAAGTTTTTAAATTATTTTTCATGTTACTGTTGAAACTACATTTTTATATAGATTTAAAACAAAAATCAAATATAATCACAGTTACTTATGTAGTCTACACTGAAAAGGCAAATCAAAAAAGCTTAACAGCCTCAAATACTCAAAACTATATTTTCATATATCTCGTAAGTACATTATAAAATGCAGTGTTAGTTAAAATAGAAATGGGCAGGTACAGAACAGTGCAATGTAATATTTTTCTGGAACAAGACAAAAAATTGTTGCAGTCTCTGATAGAAAAAGAAAACGAGCAGATTTCTATGCAGTTGGCAAGAAGAGAAAAGGCCAAGGCTGATGCACATTGGATGAAGCTAATCAGCAGAAAATAATTTTCTTATCATAATTTCAACTCTCCATTGTTCAAGCTGATTTATACTTTTTTTGTGCTGTAAACTGCAAAGAACGGAGATGGCCATCAACAGTTTAGCTATGAAGCCTAGAAAAAAAAGAATGTCATATTTATTTTAGAAACTGTTAACCCCTGATAAATCCATTATTTAAACAGCATCATAGTTAACAAATTTGTACACATTTTAAATAATTTGTCTTTGTGAGACAAGAGTGTTAATTTTTAACTGTAGGCAAAAAAATGAAAAATTACTATATTACACATTTTAAATTTTTCCAAAAATATTCAAGCAGAAAAGAAAAACTCAAAAATATAAAAAAATAAAATACTTGTATCTATAAACTCTTTTTTCAGGTCATAATCAACTGCGTTTAGAGGAAGCACGAGAGGCTGAGTTGGACATGTTATATCAGTAAGTTTTGTTATTTTTTGGGTTTAAATAAAAAAAAAGGAATGAATTTTTTTTTTTACCTGGCTGTTTTTTTTTTTTTTTTTTTTAAATTAAATTTAAAAAAAAACAAAAATATAATAAAATTTTCATTCAATTTTTTAACTTTAACGTAAGATGTTCAATTTAAAATTTAAGTTCATTTTTACCAGCAGTCTAACACAAAACCGTAAGAGATTTTAAGCTTATACTTTTAAACAAAAAAAAAAAAAAAAAAAAAAAAAATAAAAAAAAAAAAACAAAAATTTTTTTTATTTTTTTGGTTTAAAAAAAAAAAAAGGAATGAATTTTTTTTTTTACCTGGCTGTTTTTTTTTTTGTTTTTTTTAAATTAAATTTAAAAAAAAACAACAATATAATAACATTTTCATTCAGTTCTTTAACTTTAACGTAAGATGTTCAATTTAAAATTTAAGTTCATTTTTACCAGCAGTCTAACACAAAACCGTGAGAGATTTTAAGCTTATACTTTTAAACAAAATTATTCTCATTCTAGAGATGAAGCAGCTCGTATGTGGCAGAAGAGAGCAGCACAGTGGGAAAGAGAGCGACAGGCTCATCAAAAGTTAATGGCAGAGGTACACCAATATTTAATGTTAAATAACAGTGGGAAGTATGTTGTCAGTTTGTTTCAATAACTAACTTTATCTTTTGCAGGGGGTTTATTTAAATTGAAGTGGCTATAGGTACCCGAGTACCCATCATCGCCAATGACTATTCGCTACCCGAAAGTCTTAGTAATCGAAAAAAAACATGATCCGAACGAGAGGCTTAATAATCGACAAGTTTGCCGCGCTTTCTTTTATAAAAATGGAGGTTGGCAGCAATTTTGACACCTATGCGTCTTTTTAAGACGAATTGAATTATTTTTGTAAAGAACACAATGTGTGTTTCACTAAAAGATCGTCAGAGAAGATGAAAGATCCCAATTTGGAACACCTTAAATATGAATATATAATTCACTGTTGCAAACAAGGCGTTAAACGCAAGTCAAAGTCTTCAACGACAACAGGCCAAAGAAAATCACAAGCGTAAGTAATAAAGTAATAATAATAGGTTAACTTTAAATTTAGTTGTTCTTGTCATGTAATAATTATTTCTCCAAGCCAATGATTATTACCACGGTAAATGGAGAGGACGAATGCCACTATTTTATCGATGGCCGCGACTAATGTATCCCTAAATCGATCACTATGCTATGCCGATGCCTATGCCTAACCTGAACCCTTAATCGACCTCTCAACCTAACCTGAACCCTAATTCACTGCAACTATAATAAAGAAGCAAATGACGCCGTGGCATTCGTTAAATACATTAGCCCTTACCACTTTTTGCAATTCGTTGAGAATTTTTATATTTTTCAGTTCTTTCAAATTGGGATGCCAGACAAAGATAAAGCTTGTTGCCAAAAGAAATCCATCTCGGCTAGAAATTACCAAATCAATGCATGAACATACTGGCCATGAAGTATCAAAAGAAGTAAGTGCATGTGCTGCGAAAAATATTTACATAATAATAATAATAAATAGCTTATTCTTGTGGCAGGTTGTTGTCACCTACAGGTACTCTAGTCTCTAGTACTATAGAGGTTAGATGGATGCATTTTAAAAGAATGTTTTGTACCATGCATTAACCCATTCAATCTAGGGCGCTCAGAAATTTTATCACTGAAAACTTTTGGTTAAGGTTAGGGTTACCACCCTTACCATAGAAAGGTTTTGAAAAAAATTAAGACAAATCTATTTAACAGTATAATTAAATTTAATAAATTCTAAATAGTCCAAACAAAGTTTTATATCTTAATTTTGATTATTGTGACATATAATAAACAAAACATTTATCCCCAAGGTGAAGGTTAGTTATTTTTATGTACACAGCGGTGAGCCTAGCCCTAGGCTGGGGTACCGCACTATATAAGACCAATGTTCCCTCTAAGGTTTGTTGTTTTGTGTGCAAAATCATACAGTTATGTGCAAAGTTTTACAGCATCAATTTTTTTGTGTGCAAAATTTTACAGTCCAGAAACACAAACACACACTTAGAATGAAATTTGCTGTGCGGATACTCAAAACTGCTGCGCAGCGCCTGTGAGATGGCTGCGCGGCAGCTCAGCTTAAAGGGAACCTTTTATAAGACCACTAATAATAATAATGTTTGCAGAGCATATTTTTTTACATAATACTTATTATTGCAAAGTAACCTTTGTGTATTTTTTTTCCAGATGTGCCGCTTGTATCCGGAAAACCGCAAGGTGGAACTAAATGCGGCAACGCTTCTGTTGATGTCCTGCACCACGATTCAGGCATCTGAGGCCCGGCAAGTGCTTGAACAACAGCATGATGTGGATTTGCTTCCCAGGGACATTTACAATATTAAGTCAAGAATAAATAAATCATCTTCTGATGCAACTGAAACTCAATCTATACTTCATTCTATATCACAAGCTGGTGGAAGTGTGTCCTATGGACTAACAGAAAGTGGGGAATTTAAGTATTTATCATACATGACTGATGATATGATTAGAATTATTGCCCAATATCCAGAGGTTTTATTAATGGATTTCACATATAAAACCAATAAATATTTATATCCACTTTTGACTGTAATGGTTATTGATGGAGAGGGCAGGGGCATTCCTGTTCTTCATGGTTTTGTAAAAAATGAAGATAAGGAATCTATTTCTCTTTGTTTGCAGCTTCTTCTGAAGAATTCTGATGCCAGTCTTTTCAAGTGCTTTGTGGTTGACAAAGACATGGCTGAAATCTCTGCTATAAATGATCTGTTTCCAAATGTACCTGTTAATCTATGTCATTTTCACATTAACCAGGCTGTGCACAGGTTTCTTTCGAAACATGTAGGTCCTGAGCATGTTCAGCCAATTCTTGAAGGATTTATGTCTCAAGTTTATACCGAGTCATGCGATGAATTTTTAAAGTTGATGCAAGACATGAAAGATACTCTTCCTGATGTAGCTTTGGAGTATTTTGAGTCAAACTGGTGGAGTAAGGCCCATTTATGGGCAGCATCATCCAATGCTGATGTTTTAAGACTCCATGCGACAACAACAAATCACTTGGAGTCTTATCATGCCAAAATAAAAAAGAGTTTGACTCATTATCTTTCTTTTTCATCAGCTCTTCGTAACCTTATGTCTTTTGACAACTGCAAAATTACAGTATGTGATCGTTTAAGATTGCTTGCTGCAAACACAGCTCAGTATACGTCATCTGATAATGATGAAAGTGTAAATAAGATTGAAAGTGTTGCTACTTCCTTTGCTGCTGCTCTATTGCTCAATCAGCTCAAATTGTCACGATCTGTTCCGTACTCTGTTGTCCCTGGAGAGGCAGAACTTTTTTCAGTAGCTTATAAGGAACGTATTTTTAGCTCAACATCAGTTCAATGTAATTGTTCATTTGCTAAAAAGATGGCATTACCTTGCAGACATATTTTTTCAGTTCGAAGACATTTACAGCTTCCAGAATTTTGTTCAGAGTTAATTCCATGCCGTTTTAGCAAACATAGTGTTCCTAGAGTGGTTGCTTCTACTTCTAGTGGTTCAGTAACTTCTCAAATTGTATCTACTAGAAACAATAATTTTAAGACTCAAGAGGGTCGGTTTAATCATGCTAAAAGAATTTGTATGGGCTTGGCAAATTTTTTGGCGATGCAAGGAGAACAAGATTTTGTAGAGAAAATATCCTTTCTTGAAACTACTATAAGTCTCTGGAAAAGTCCTGAAAATTTAGATGAAAATGAATCGGGGTCACAACTTGATGAAGGTGAACCACAAACAAGTTTCATTCAAAGTCAACTAATTGATTTTGTTGATATAAATGACATTCATTTTTCCCACGAGGAAACAGTTGCTGCAAATAATTTCGAAAAAATTGAAACTGAAAATAGTATTAATTCCTTTGGAAAGGTTAACTTTGACAGAGTGCGACCAAAGGGGCGACCGAAGGTAAAGCAAAATTTTACCCTGAAAAGAAAAAGATAGCTGCCCCAACAATTTTCAACTACTTGTATAAAATAAAGATGTGAATGTTTGTAAATAAATGGCTGTCGCTATTCAAACCCGGGTCCAATAGACCAATGCTATTCGGATGTCATTTGTGGTAATTTATTTTAGTTAATGTTCCTTTAGTTAAACTGAAGAATTAAGTTTACAAACATATAGTCCATTCAATTATCTTTCATTTGATACCAAATTTTGTCTTACAACCTAACAATAATTTTTTGGGATGTGTTCATGATGTATGCATCAATGTTGTTTCTGTGTCTTTTTCAGCTTTTATATACTATAGCATTTTCATTATATTTTTTTCTGACATCAATTGATGAATCAGGAGGAATAGTTTTGGAACTACATAATTGAAACTTTGCATGCTTATTTAAATTGAGATTCTTTACTTTATGATGGATTGTTTTTAAACAAATGTCTCATAGGAAAAGTTTTCAGAGAATGTTTGTATTTATGTATTTTATTTATTAGGTTCGTGTGTTAATTTTTTTTTCTATCTTTTCTGTCTTAGTTTTCTAATTGTTTTTTAAATCATGAAGGATATATGTACATGGTGTATGCATCCTATATCGTTCATGCAGCCTCTAATTTAAAAAAACACAATTTTATTTTATTTATTTTTTTCTTTTTCTCAATTTTTCACTTTCCGGATTTTTAAGGAACGCCAAATGAATCAGGAGAAAAAGTATTCTAGCTACAGCCTTCAAACATTGCATGCTTCTTTTCATTGATATTCTTTATGAAATTCAATAGGTTTTTTTTTATATATATATATATCCAACTAGAAAGTTTTATAACATTTTTACATTTGCTACCCCTGAAGAGTTCTCAAATATTTATGTGACCCCCACATACATGCCATTTGTAACAATTCCAATAACTGCTGTGTAATAATCTTCTTTAAACTTTTTGTCAATGTTATTCTTAATATGTATGCCAAGTTTCATTTACAATACAGTACAATAATTTACAATACAATGCAATACAAATTTGTTTTTAATCATTTTGCGTAAAGTCAAAATTGGTATTAAATGTTTAATTTTTTGCAATAAAAGTCACAACAATTTTTTTTTAAATTTAGTGGATTTTTGTCTTTCTGTTTGTGTATGGTTTGTATGTACTGTATTTTTTTCAATGGCTCTATTTATTTAGGTTATCAGTATTTTATTTTCAATGTGGCATGACTTAGTTGCCTTGAAACCAAACTCCCTTCACAGATCACATATATTTGCTCCCACTCAATCATTACGTCTGTACTTAAATGAAGAAATGATACCGTACAAACAATAGTTAACTGTACGGGTACCAACAAGGAAGGTGAGAAAGTAAAAGGAGACAAATGGCAAAGGAATGATGTGACCTAATTGAATGAGTTTAATGGCTGCCTACTCCATACTGGCCCCTAATTTATTTTATGGATTACTTGAGTACACAACTCAAATAACTAACAACCAAACAAAAATGTTTGCAAGTCAGTTAAGGGTTTTTTTTCTATTAAATTATGTACCAGTGTGTTAGACCCAGCAGACAGATATGGTAAAAAAAAAAAAAAAACTAGTCCTCCAAAAATAAGTCTCTTTCTCATACTTTATACAATGGCATCCTTTAACTTTAAGATGTTCATTGCAACTACCTTGTGAATTAGGTCAAGTCAAATGAGAAAGGTTGTTGAAAGGAGATTCAAGATATCAGGAATAACAGTTAGTGTCCGCATGTATGACTCCCAGTGCCAAGGAAAAGGTTTAAAATTGGTAGTTTTGTTCTGACTAAGCCAAGCTCTCTAGAGGAATAGTTGAAATTAATTCATTATGAATGAAATTTTCATTATTTAGAATACCTAATTAATTCATAAAGTACTGTGTGATTAAATCTTTTAACTTAAACAATACACATAAATAATCTTAAATAAAGGATTTAATTTTAATAATTAAATTAATATTATTACTTTTCTAAAATTCAAATAAAAACAATAAATGTATCTAAATCATCTTCATTACTCGATTTAAAAAAAAAAATAATTGATCTACGAAAATGGCTTAAACTAAAAAAAGAAAATAAGAAAGAAAAAAATTACCGGTACTAAGAGAAATTAACAAAGCAAAAATAAAAAAAACAACTAAAAATAATAAAACTATGAATCAATCAAATAAACAAGGAGAAAAAACAATTTCAAAAAATAATTCTCATACTATTATTGTTATCACATTCGGCTTCGAAGCCATTTAATATGTACGGAGCCACTCCGGGTGCGAATTTTCATTGGCGATGATAGGTACCCGGGTACCTATAGATGCAGCCTATTTAAATTGTGAAAAAATTGAATAATTGCTGCAATAAGAAAATATGGGGAATTTTTAGGTAAACTTCTCCATTTGATTATTCATGGTGTTAGCACTTTAGCAAGTATTCAGTTTCAGCAACTCTATGAAACTGTTTCAAGATGTCTGATTATTGTTATACTTGTTGCCTTCAATGGTGCAGGTCCTAGAGAGCAGACAAGAGCAGATCGCCCTGAAGCTGGCAGAGCTCCAGCAGCAACAGGAGGAATCCTTGCAGCGCAGGGAGGAGCCGGTCAAAGAGATGGAGATAGCCCAACAGATGACCAGGAGCGAAGAAGAAGAGCAAAGTCGAATAAACTTGCCACCAAGAGGGAACTGGAGGAACAGGTGGGTTTTGTCATTTAAAAAAAAAATTCTCAATTTTTTTTTCGGCCTGATTTAATAGTTTGTTTATATTGACGTCAAAAATGAGAACAACAAATAATTTCTTCAACATTTAATTGTCATTTGTATTGCTGCAATCCCAAACTTAAAAATTAATTGGTGTTTATTTATCTTCAAGTTCTAGGAATGTGCTCCAAGAACAGGCTTGGAACATTGTTCTAAATCTGTGATTCCTGTATAAGTTTTAAGTTGTATTTGTTATAATTGCTTCATAAAACCAGAGTTATTCTAAATAAATATGTAAATCATATCCAGAAATTTGTTTGAAACAAATTTTGTCGACGGAAAATTGTTTGACGGAAGTTTGATAGAATGGAAATTTGATCGAACAGAAGTTTGGTCAATTTTTTTTCAGTTCCTATGATCTAATTTTGCGTCAAATTTCTTTTTGAACGCATTATTTTTTTTACTATATAGTTTAGTGTGTTCAAAAAAAAATTTGACAAAAATTTGATCGTATGAACTGAAAAAAATATTTGACCAAACTTTCGTTCGATCAAATAACCGTCGACAAAATTTCTTTTAAAAAAATTTTTAGTAACCTATGTAAATTTGCATTTTTACCAAAATCCTTTCTGTAGGTGAAAGTGCTTTTGCATTATTTAATTGTATTCCTAGTTGAACAAGGGAGTTACAGTGTTGGGACATCATGTTCAGTATCTAAGATTAAAATGTGCAAGCCCCGGAACAAGCTAATATATATTTAGCCCAATGCCCCTTCTTTGCTCCTTAAAACAGGGCGTTAGGCTAAATATAGAATGTGTCTCCTGTGTCCCATGTGTGTCTGTTGGCACAACTAAAAAACAGTCAGCCACAAAACTGTAAGCAACATTAATTGTTTTGTCTTCTCTAATACTTTAAAGATCAGAGCTCGACAGCTGAAAGAGAGGCAGGAAGAACTGAACCTGCAGCTTGAACTTGATGAGGAGAGAGAAGAGGAGAAAGGTTATGAGGAACTTCTGAAACAAGAAACTGAGCGAATGAGACTGAAGGGATTTACACCTCGGGTGAGTAGCGTCACAGCACAGAACCACATATTATATGCTTCATAACTTGTAAAAAGGGGGGGGGGGGGGGTTTATAGCATTATCACAGCATTAGTCATATATGTGCTTTATAACTTGTAAGGGGAAATAAGTCGTGCTTTAGTGAAAGAAAACTTTTATGTATATCTCATTTTAATATGTTTTCATTAAATGTCGGAAATCAACTACCATAAATGGCATTTATGAAAACTCAATTTGTAAAAATGTATTTAGAGTAGGCAATACAACAAAGAAGTACAACATAAATACTTCTTAAATTAATATGTAAAGTGCTTTCATTGAATTTAAATTGACTTTGGTTACGTTTCTATCATATTTTAACAAGTAACTTAATTTTTGTTTCCTCCACAGGATCATGGGAGAAGACAAGCAAGGATGTGATTCATTATCATTTATAGCATAAGCCTTGTATAACAATCTTATTTTAAAAGTTCTTCTTTCTTTTAGCATCTTGCATGATGCACAATGCACCCAGTGGTTCCCCACCGGTGTACAGAGTGGGGCAATATTATTTTAAATTTGATTTACTGGTAACAGGCAGAAAAACTAGAGTGCTTGGCTCATGAGGCTGAACATTTGCTCGCAGGAATGTCTTGTTCAAAGATGCATGTTTTTATGATTGGCAAGGAGAGATGAGGTAAAGATCATTACATTTTAATGAGATTTTTTTCCTTAAATTAAAGCGGCATTTTGATTTTGAGCAAAAGGAAATTCCTTTTTTAATAAAGACTCAACAAATGGCTTTAACCATTTTAAGACTTAGATCCAATACGACTTCCCATGACACTTGATATTCACTTAGACAATGCAAAAGTTTATTCTTGAAATTAAAAAATAGGAAATTAAAAATAGTAAATTTGACAAAGATCGATCAAGCTTGTTTTATTACACATCTAAAATACATGAGCAGAGTGTCACTTGTCCCTAGAGAAGGGTTCAACCAGTGCAGGCTGCCTTAAGAGCAGGGTGTCACTAGAGCAAGCAGACTCGGAGGGGGTCCTTGGAGAAGTCTGAATGAGCTGACACCATGAGTTAACCCCACTGGTGGCACCAACTCTTGTGATGCCACAGAGCATAAGATGAAATAGGTGACAAGGCCAAATTGACGTATAAAGCATGATATGTGTTCTTACGCTAGCTGCCAAGCCATTCGTAACCGCAATATGTTGAGTGCATTTTAAATTACACTGGCCACATGCAGTGTTGCCAGAAAAAAATTTGTTTGGCTTTAAAAATACACTCTTTAAATATTATTTTATTTACATCAATTGAGCCCTCATTACCCCTAAGATTTCCATTTACCCCAGTTGGCTGGCCACTGGCCTAAAGTAATGAATTTGTACGTGCATTATTATATTCTCTGGTGTTTTTTTTTTTTTTCATTAATTTATCCTTTCATCTGCTAAAGGATGTCATCACTGCCTCATGATTTTTAAAATAAAAATAATGAACACAAATTTTAACCCTTTAAAATTTTTCATACCCATTTTTTAAACATTGAGCATACAAGAATAATATCACCATTGTCTCTCCTTATCTCTTTGTGATATAAATAGATCTCCAGATTACGTTTTTTTTTTGTTGTTTTTTTTAAAAATTAAAATTATATTTATTAATTTAAAAACAAAAAGAAATGTGTCTTGCCGTTGGGAAGAGTTCTTTGGTTTTTTATTTCATTTTAAATAGGAACACGTTGAAATTAATTATACAGACTCTTTGACCAGCAATAATGACATGCACAGACATTGTCTCAGTTTTTTTACATTTTTTATCAACTACTTTCTTTGTCTTTCTTTTCATGAGTTTTTAAGCTGTGAAATATAATTCCTATGATTGCTATGAACAATTTAACATTATATTTGAACCTTGCTGTAGTGAAATAATTAAAACATGATCTTTAATTTGAATTTTTCAATGTTCAAGTGTTTATTATTTTTTACTTCGTCATTTCTTATCATTATCTACTATTTTGTATTGAAATAATCATTACGTCAGTAGTTCTCAACCATTTTAGTGCCATGTCTCCTTGATAGCATGTTCCAAGTTGCTGCAACCCAAAACCAGAAGTATTCTTAGGAATTAAGAATACTTTGTTTAGTGGTTGGGGGAGGGGGTGTTGCAGAATAAAAGTGAAAAAAAAACAAACAAAGAAACATCAACATTATAATCCAATTTCATACAATCCAAGGCAGAGCCAAAAATAAATGACAGTGACTGATCCAGAAGAAAAAAATGACAGTGCCAGATCAAGAAAAATGGCATCTTTCAGTTTTCGCCAGGCGATGGAGTAGCTATGTAGTCCTACACTTCGATGAGTGGCTCACTAGGCCAATCCTAAAATGACAATCTCGAATGCATTTCTCAGAGGGGATCATTGATTCCTGGTAAGATTTTGACTTCCATATTGTTCTTTTTGTTGGAAGGGCCTCGTTTCGCATATCTTCTGCCTTTTTTACTCCTTCATACACTGCTGTTTGCCAGCTGGAACGTTGTTAGATAATGAGCTCCCATTCCTTGTTCTCAATAGTGGCTTCCTTCATGCTCCTTTTGCAAACTTCCATAAATCTGAGATAGCTCCAGAAATATATGACAGCGACAGAAAAACATGTAATAGTGCTACTTTTTGTTTACAGAAAGTGAAGGTAAATCATTATAATAATAATTGTTACAGAGTAAAGTGAATCATTATATTAATAATTATTACAGATTAATGTGGACCATTATATCTATTGTTACAGAGAGTAAGATGAACCATTCAAACAATAATTTTGTGAAGAAACAGAAGTGACACAATACTGATTCACTAACATACAGAAGTAACACCACTCTGATTCCCCAACATTCAGAAGTGACACAACATTGATTCACTAACATACAGAAGTAACACCTGATTCCCCAACATTCAGAAGTAACACAACACTGATTCACTAACAAACAGAAGTGACACCACACTGATTCCCCAACATTCAGAAGTGACTCAACATTGATTCACTAACATACTGAAGTAACAACACATTTATTTCCCAACATTCAGGTGTGACACAACATTGATTCACTAACATACAGAAGTAACACCACACTGATTCCCCAACATTCAGAAGTGACAAAAAACTGATTCACTAACATACAGAAGTAACACCACACTGATTCCCCAACATTCAGAAGTGACAAAAAACTGATTCACTAACATACAGAAGTAACACCACACTGATTCCCCAACATTCAGAAGTGACACAACATTGATTCACTAACATACATAAGTAACACCACACTGATTCCCCAACATTCAGAAGTGACACAACACTGATTCACTAACATACAGAAGTAACACCACAATGATTCCCCAACATTCAGAAGTGACACAACATTAATTCACTAACATACAGAAGTGACACAACACTGATTCACCAGCATACAGAAGTAACACCACACTGATTCCCCAACATTCAGAAGTGACACAACACTGATTCACTAACATACAGAAGTGACACAGCATTGATTCACTAACATACAGAAGTAACGCCACACTTATTCCCCAACATTCAGAAGTGATACAACATTGATTCACTAACATACAGAAGTAACACCACACTGATTCACTAACCTGTCGGAGTTGTCGGTACCTTGAGCCGGCCCTGACCTTGTCTGCTGTTTTTTCTTTTGCACCCATACTGCCCTTATAGCTACACGGACTTTGTTTAAATTTTGTTTAATTGGAATATTAAAAAAATCGTGTAGATACATTTCTGCTTACAGAAATGTAAAAATAAAAAAAAATTAATAAAAAAATCTTACAAACATTTTTTTTTTCCTAATTACAAAAGAAACTTTCAAGCAAAAAGAAAAAAAAAAAAAAAAAAAAAAAAAAAGCCAAAAATTGAATGAACTTGACAAAAAACCTCGTTAAAAAATCCATCAGTAAGTTGTTCTCAAAGTGGGCGGTATAACCAACAATAGACAATGTTATACCCGGTGGGTGGTTAAATTATCGGTTGAATTAAAAGTAACGGGGGGTGATGGCCCTGGAATAACAAAGAAGGACCACTGGTGGAAACTTTTCAAATAAAAATTATAGCTCTGAAAAAATAATTAATTTTGAACAGTGCAAGAAGAGTTGGACAGATATACATATTTATATATATTATTATCTACTTTTGAAGCTCAATAAAAAAAAATCCTTTTGATCTTTAAAACGTGGAGAAAGAAAAAATAAACAAATTCATAGAAACCCCAACCCAGTGGTTCTCAACCTTCCTAATGCCAAGACCCTTTAAAACAGTTAATGTTGTGGTGACCCCCCCCCCAAGCACATAACTGTAGAGCATATGTGATTTCCGAGGGTCTTAAAATTTTTTTATATTTTATTTCCGGTATTATTATTTCCTAGTTTTTACTGTTTTTTTTTTTTTTTCTTTTTTTTTTTGTAAATAATTTTTTATATTAAGAATTCAATTAAAATATCTTGACCGTGCCAAATCACCGAGCAGTCATTTTTTTTTTTTAAGTTAGAAGTTTTTACAACTGGGTCAGTTTACAAAAAGGTCACCAATCAAAGTTTTGTTTAAGGGTGTTTTTATTCTTTAAGTGTCTTTTCTCGACAACATCTGATTTCTTAAACATTCAGTGATATCCCGCACAAGTTCTAAAACACTGTCATAAATGATGTCATAGCAGGGGGAGTAAAACTAAAATCCACTACGGTGATGGTCCACTAATCCACTACGGTGATGGTTCACTAATCCACTACGGTGATGGTCCACTAATCCACTACGGTGATGGTCCACTGTTCCACTACGGCGATGGTCCACTATTCCACTTCGGCGATGGTTCACTATGGCGATGGTCCACTATTCCACTTCGGCGATGGTTCACTATGGCGATGGTCCACTATTCCACTACGGCGATGGTTCACTATTCCACTACGGCGATGGTCCACTATTCCACTACGGCGATGGTCCACTATTCCTCTACGGCGATGGTCCACTATTCCACTACGGCGATGGTCCACTATTCCAGAGACTACGCACTGAGAGAAAACAAAAATGATCAGTGATGATCGGCTACCCACTAGTAAAATTCCAAAGTTATCTAAAGTCCAGCGTACGAGTTAAGCCTATGTCACTTTAAGAAGCTATTTGACACTTAGGACTTTATAACTATAATACGTATTTATTATATTGTGTTGTTACATTTGATGGGAATAGTGAATTTATTAATTTTTTTTCACAAAAAATGAATTAGTTTTCTTGGGGGGGGGGGGGGGGCGAAAATAAAAGTGAGTTATGTTGCCAAAGAAAGATTTATATATGTGAGTATGTGATGTAATGATGTGGGATATATGAATATGTCCACATCCAAGCACCAGGCAGAGTTTCATAGATGACGATCCACGCATGACCATTAGTTAGTCTCGAACAGTTCTTGACCGCTCTCATGCCCGTGTAGCCGCCCAAAGTTGACACCAAACAGCGAGCAAAATGCCGAGGTGATGGCTAAGACGTTTAACTGTCCAACTTGTAAATGTCAAAGTTTGTCCCCATCAGTGTCAAGGCAGGCGCGGGATGGGGGGGGG